TCAGGACCTGAAACTCCACTGGGGGCTCAAGAAATTGTTGTTTATTTGATTTATCAGGAGCTCTGCAAAAGCATGAATTGAAAACATAGTAGAGGAAAACCTACAATTGCCCTGTAGTTCAGAATTCAAATATACTACTCTAGCAAGGTCACCTGTTAGGTTTGGTACCTACTAGAATCGTTACAAGTCATTTGTCAAAGAAATGATGAAAACAGATTAGAAGAACTCTACCATCTGCCAAAGAAATTAAAAGGCAGGTATCCACAATGTATCAAACACCAAAAAAGCTACCAGTTTGGAAATAGGAAGAAAACAAGCTTTGAAATCTTAAAACCATCGTTTCAACTCAGGCTCTTTTGACCCTAGATATGGTCATAAGAAAGTTGCTCAATCACTCCAGGTGTCCCTCTCATCAAAAAAAATAAAATGAGAAGTGTGTGTGTGCGTGTGTGTGTGTGTGTGTGTAAATGTATCTGTATGTGTATTTATTTATTTAATCCATTACATAGTATATGTTCAATGGAGCCTGCAAGATATTACTGTGACTAACCAATGCATCAATTAAATTAAATATGCAATGCCAACATATGCTTGTTTAAACTATACTTTCAAATTTTAGTTTGGATTTATTAGAGTTAAGGTTGGGGTAGGATTAGGGTAGAGGCAAGGATCAGAGCTCAGTTCAGGGTCAGGGTTATGTTTTGAGTTAAAATTAGGTCAGGGTTAGGATGAGAGAGTTCAGGTTAGGGTTGAGGTTAACACTGAGTTTGTGATTAGTGTTAGTATTAGGATTTGCGTTAGCATTGAGATTAGCATGTGGTTTTAAATTAAGGGTAGGTTTAGGTTTAGTGTAAGAGCTAGGGCTAGGGTTAAATTTATGTTTTAGGGTTAGTGTTAGAATTTCATTTTGAGTTAGGTTTTGTGTGAAGGTTAGGGTTAGAGTTGTGGTTAGGGTTGAGTTTATAATTAGGATTAAGGTTAGAGTAAGAGTTAGATTAGAGCTTATTGTTTGGATTTAAATTAGTGTTGGGTTTAGGTTAAGGGTTAGATTTAGGGATGCTTAAGGGTTAGGATTAGGGTTGAGTTTATGATTAGGGTCAGGGTTAGTGTTAGAGCAGAGTTAACTTCAAGGTTAGGGCTTGTTTTAAAATTAGATTAGGTCTAGGGTTAGCATTTGATTAAGAGCTAAATTAAAGTTACATTTAGAGTTAGCTTTAGGGTTAGGATTAAGTTTTTACTAAAATTGGTCTTAAGGTTTGAGTTAGAATTATGGTTAGGATTAGAGTTAGCATTGAGTGTAGGGTTTGTGTTTAAATTAAGTTTAGGATTAATGTTAGAGTTAGGATAAGAGCTAAGGTAAGGTTTAGGTTTAAGGTTAGGGTTAGGTTTTGAGTTATGTTTAGGTTTAAGGTTAAAGTTAGGGTTATGGTGGGGAAAAAGTAGTTAATGTGTAGTGTGACTATAATAAAGGAAAAACTCACAGAGAAACAGATAGATGTATAATGTTTACATTTTGTCTTACTAAAAAATCCTTAAATAGGTTTTGAAAATATGATATGCTATGATGTAACAGTATTTTGATGTTTTCTAAGGACTGACAGCAAAGTGCTACATCTCTTCAAGCTTGTAATTTACCGCCTGTCCGAGTCTCTGCTTGTGCCAAATTAAATATACAGTATAAAGTCCCTACCAGAAATAACATAGCACAGCTTCCTGCTCTGCTCATTGGTTGAATGGGGCCAACTGAAGAAAGGGAAACTGGATTTTACTTAATCATCTGAATAACTGTTTTCTTCAATTTCTTGAATTAGAAGCTACTGGGGGGAGAGGAAATTAAAAGAAAATTCCCCATGTAAATTATCAGGCCATTGGGGAAAATTCCACTTGAAGTTCCTACATTTGAAGGGCTCAAAAAAAAAGATTATTCTTATTAATGAACTGCTCAGAAAGTCAACTTTTCCAAGCGCCCAAATTTCTGAGGCCTCAGAGTACTGTAAAACCTCTCTGCCTGAGAGGCACCAATTGTATTGTACTATAAATGGTGGAGTGCTTCCTTCCAGCAGACACCACCCAAAACTCTTCTGAGGAGTGTTGTGATAGAGAACATGGAGAAATGGGATGAGAGATGGAAAAAGACGTGCCATGGAATCCACGGAAGGTTTCTGGGATTATTTATGGTGAAAAATATGATCATATGTTTATCCACGGACACTGGGTAATGTAAGTGATAGAGGAGATGATGTGCAGGCAAGGGACAATTCATCCATTGTGATAGAAGGGAATGAAATGAACTACTTATGGACACACATGTAGAAGTTTGGGAGGTACCGTAAAGAAAAGATGTAGTAGTTCTCTTCTGATTGCATCACTTTTGAGTGAAATAAGAAGGAAAAGGTGAGGAGAGAGGGGAAAGACTTGAGGAGAGAGATGTGAAATAGTCACCCCAGAAGTAAATATGTAGGATAGCTGGGTAAAGCTGGGAGAAATTTGAGAGAGGCAGTCATAAATTCTGAGTTAGGTTGTATTTATGTTTTCTTCTACCCATATCTATTGCTTGAGTGCAGGCATAGAATACTTTCCAGACATTTACATGCCATGCATTCAAGGTCTACGATCTTTCAGATAGGGTTCAGCAAGAGTAGAGGAGAGTGGACTGGGCCTCTTAACTAATTCCTAAGACCACCAGAGTCTTCCATCGTAGACCTTCATATCGAAACTCAGACAACTCAAACTAGATACAAACAATAATTATTATATAAAATTAATTATAATTATCCTCGTATTCACCCATAAAAATATTTTCCAAATATATTTTTAAAATGGTAAACAGATCAGGTTCTACAAGTATATCTAGGACCTATCTTGGTATGCTAGTCTCATTCGAGCTACATTTGTATTTGTTCCTTAGTCATAGTGCTGAACTTTACCAAGAGAAAGCAAATTAATTCTGGGCTCCTGAGGAAAGACCCTAGCAGATCTCCTCTTCTTACTAATAATAAAGCTGCAATCAACTAGATCAAATAAGCACATTACCCATTTTCTGTCACTGGGACAATTTAAGCCGAAAACGAACATTTGTGTCTTCAAAGAACAAAAGCGCGCACATGCGCACACACGCGCGCGCACATACACAGACGCTTACATCTTTTAACTACAATTACAAAAGCCAAAGATTGTAAATTTCTTTTCACATCACAATGAAGTAACTGAGAAAACAACCAAGATGCCAGAGCTCTGGTGCAAACACCAGGATGGATAACTGAAGTCTTTACAAAACTTTTAAAAAATACATTCTATTTTTTAAAATAAGCGAAAGATAAACTGTAAACCTTATACTTGAACACATACATGAACCCCTCGCTATGTCACGTGAGTTGGAATTACACTGTAAAACCTTCCAACTCATAAATGCTTCCTCCATACACATCAAAAAGTGAAGCCGAGACTGACATTATTTGAGATGAATTCCCAAGGGTTCTAGCATTGTCCTCTGTTAAAAATGCCCTTGACAGGGATTTCCATTATTAAGGATGAGCATAAATTAATTAGCTGATGAGACCCCTTAGCTAGGAGCCAGTTTTGTGGAGCAAGGGTGGAGTGGAGTAGAAGGAGGAAACTGGAATCACACACTCTCTTATCAAAGGTAGCAGGGTCTGAAAGAATACTCCACAAGGAGGCAGGAGGTCGGAGTTGGAGTCCATCTAACCAATCTAAGGACAAGATGTCTTAACTGAAAAATGAGAAGGCTGAATTGGACCATCTCTAACTAGTCCAAAAAGACTACTTTTGTGATGGGAGGTAGGTTTGGCTAAAAGGATAGGAGCAAACGCAAAGGGCTAAGGAGAGGGGAAGCAAAATGTAACCCATGGTGGTCACAAAACCACGATGGGAGAAAAGAGGGAAGGAACTAAAGAAAACATCTCCACAACTGTAACTCTGCCAAGAGATTAACTAAATGTGTTCCAAAGAGAGATCGTGGTTCTACAGGAAAATCATAGTGATGTCTCAGGCATAAAGACCATAAACAGAAATAGAGAGAGAATTGTGGAATCATATTGGGTCACTGCTTTCTTCAGATCTGTATTAAAAAACTGAAATGAAACTAGTTTTGCCCGAGGAAATACTGTTCTTAAAACTAAAAGGATGATTAGCAGTGTTGATGGGTTTCCTGACAAATGGAAAATGCTGACTTTTATGAGTTCTGTTAAGAGCACTAGCACTAAAATGACTATAGCAAAGTTCACTCCCTTATTCAACAGAAATTTTATAGTATCAAGTATGTGCTTCTACTAGGTATAAAAAAGGACACCATGAAAAAGACACCTCTACTCTTAAACTTAAAAGCATAATGCGGAAGATACGACAAATACATTAGCAAATACAATGAGATATAATACAACTGGGCTAAGCAAAGGTTAGGGGTTTGGAAGAAGAGTTGGAGTTTTTTGTTTTTATTTTTGAAAGATCACAGTTCCTTCCCACTTCATTCACACTAGCCAAAGTCAAGAATTTCTAAGGACAAGTTTAGACACTTAATAAAGAACAGCAGTTCCTGAACCATCTGCTTTGCTCAAAAATGAAGATCTGTCACAGGCAAATTTTCATTTTACTCCAACCCTGTGAGAATATTATTGTCAACTGGGGTAGGTAACATTTGGTTTATAAGTGACATAGTGAACAAACCACACTTTCTCAAATGGCTACAATTAGTGCCTCTTTTGGGTGAAAAAAGAAAAAAAAAATAAAGCAAACCATCCTGAGTCCAATAGTTATTCACTTTCAGCAAGTTTCTTTGATCCATTTAAGTGTCCTGTTACTAATCTTCTGATGAAGAAATGTGCAAAACACAGCATTACAGTGAACAACAGAACCTTGTTATAGTTAGACAATATATGACAGAATATTCTGAATGTTTTTTTAAGGAAATCATTTCACAAACTCATACCATACAAAACTGCAGGTTATAGTAGCCCAACACTATATTCTTGTTGTATCCTTACCTGGTAGGGAACAATACTGCCATGAGCTGTGCCCCAACGTTTTGCTTCTTTTTGGCCAATAAGATAATTAGCAGCTACCTGGGTTAAACATGCCACCTATCAGAAGAAAAAGGAAAAAAATTAGCCGGTGTATCTATACTCACTCATTAACAAAAGGTTATAATATTTGATTTCACTTAATGTCATTGCAGAAGATAAGAGAGAAAAAAAGAAACTCCCAACAGGTTAGAAAATATGCAGGCATCACCTTTCATCATACAAAGCAAGGAAGAGCAGTGTTATGTTAGTGCATGAGTAATGGTCACCTGAGAAGTATAAATACAGAAACATTTAGCTCCTGAAAAGATCACCTGAAGGCAGAAGTTGCCCCAGCAGGTGGAACCTGGTCAAGCTTTTAGCATCAAAGCCTGAGCAAAATAAATCAGCAATCATACATTCCCTTCCCCTCTCCTCCGGCCCTTTTACTTTCCATCAGGATGACACAAAATGAGACTGTGTCATCACTGAGCAGGTGCACCAAAGTCAGGAGGCGCATCCCTCTAAACTTGTCATTACATATACAGATAAACAAACTAACTAACCTCTATTTTGTTTTTAAGTCCGCTTAGTCAAGTTTTCTGTTCCTTGCTGCCTATAGCATTTTTACTAACACAGAGAATCAAGATTATTTATTGATTTTTTTAAAAATATATTTTATTGATTTTTTACAGAGAGGAAGGGAGAGGGAGAGGGATACAGAGTTAGAAATATTGATGAGAGAGAAACATCGATTCAGCTGCCTCTTGCACGCCCCCTACTGGGGATGTGCCCGCAACCAAGATACATACATGCCCTTGACCGGAATCGAACCTGGGACCCTTCAGTCTGCAGGCCGACACTCTATCCGCTGAGCCAAACCGGTTAGGGCTTATTTATTGATATTTTATTCAGCGTGAATCACCCTCATTTAAACAGAAAGTACTGTAACTTTCCCAGCTTGCTTCTGGCCTCATTATTATACTTATTGCCATGTTCAAGAAGCACAGTTCTATTAAAGGGGTTATCGAAAACTGACTCGTGCAACATTTCATATGCAGATCTTGAAAACCCACAATAATCCAACTCCATATAAGGATAGCATGAAGATAATAACTTGCTCCCTGGAGATCTGCCACAAGAAACTATGTTCCAGTGAAAAGCCATGCCTTTGAGGGCCCAGGACTATGGAAAGGAGGTGACCTAATAACAACTTTTCAGTTTCCAGAAAAAAAGGCATCTTGACTTCTAACATCATCAAGACAGAGCATGCATGGGCTTGCTCTTCCCATTATAAATCATCAGATGTGACTAGGAATCTATCAAGCCAGCAAGTCAAATATATTCCACATTGAGGCTGACTCCTGCAACAACTCAACGGGTGACTTTTCAAGGCTCAGTGCCACAACCTGTTATTGCCCTCTGCCTGGGTGCCTCCTACCAGGGCCATCAATAGGGCTCGGCCTGAACGAATCCCCTGGCAGCGGCAGCCATTCTCCTTTAGCATATTCTTGGGATTTACACTGACTTTTATGTTCATTTACTGCTCTGTTGAAATTGGAACTGCCTTATGGCAGCTGGTTCGGCTGTACTGCCCAGGTGGCAAAACTAATAAACTTTGAGTCATCCACTTCTGGACTTCCATCTGGTCTTGGGCATTTGAACCATGGAGCATTCCAGGGCTGCCTGGGGCTGCCTAATGTTAATCACCATTTCACAGATCACTTCTGTGTCTTTCAAAATGGAAAACCAAATCAACATTTTGTAGTAAAAATGCACTGGATGGGAAGTCCAGGTTCATGGTTTCTCATTTCAGTCTACCTCTAAATAGCTGTACCACTGTAGGTATATAATTTAACTACTTTGATTTTTCAGGTACATTCTCTGTATCTTTGGCATTTGACCCAAACCAATTTTCAATTTTTTAAGCTTTTTTTAAAAGAGCAGAACTCCTATATCGAACCACATAATACAGGAAATCCTAATATATAGGGTGTCTCAAAAAAATGAATACACACTTTGAATAATTATGAAGGCAATGTTTATTACAATACATTTCATTTTCAAAATTGAGCATTAGCTGTTAAAGTGGGTACACATTTTTGGGGACACCCTCTATATGCACATAATACCCCCACGTGCTCTGACTGACGCAGAGGCAGACCTGCAATGCCACCCTGCGCAACATGAACACAGAACACAATTTGCAAAATAGTAAATAGTCTTAACTTTGCTTCCAAGTTCTCTACACTTCTGACCCTATTCTTCTTCTTAAAAGTCTGGCAGATAAAAGATAGCAGGGATGCAATAGTAGTAATTTTCCTGTGAAATTGAGGAAATTTTCTCCAGTCTAAAGTTTTTCTATTTTCTTACCTATAAGAAAAGATCTTCGTTAATCTAGTTATGTTGTTGTTGTTTGGGGGGGGGGGGGGGAATGGATCAGGGGGAGGATGTTTCTTTCAAATACATTAGGTTAAAACATCCTCTAATGTGCTCTGCTGCTACTGGAGGCAAAGAATCTATAATAATAAAAGCGTAATATGCTAATTAAACCAGATGTCCTTCCAGATGACCTTCTGGACTAAGCCGAGGCTGCAAGGGAAGCCCCAGTCCCGGGTGCCAGAGGGAAGCCGATGGTGGCAGCTGGGGGAAGGAAAGCCTACTCTTGCACAAATTTCATACATCAGGCCTCTAGTTCACATTAATAAAAGTAATTATTTGCAAACAATTAATCACAACAGGCTTAGTATTCCTACTTCTCTAATCTCAAGGTCAACTGATAATTAATACATCCACATCAGCAAGGGCTGCATGAGATAGTGGGCTGACTGGATGATCACAGGTTAGTCTTAAATCCTAGACTGACCTGAGACAACTGCGAGGGGTACGCATGGGGTGGACTGTACCTGGCTATCTTGCCCACTACCTCATTCTTTCTTCTCAATTTTGGCTTCTGTGTTTCTGTTCCCACCTTGATAGCTGTCTTAGACAACTATTTAATAAAAGCAGCCCCATTTAGAGTTAGTTTGAATGAAGAGTCAGAACTCATTTCACAGACTGTTTCTAAATGGAATACTATATCCATTTTCTCCACACAGTGCTGACTCATGAAAACAGCAAACATTTCAGAACTAGCGTGCTCCCACTGGGCAAACAGATTAAATAAGATTTGAAGCCAGATGTCATCCAAAAAGAAAGTATGATTTATCAGTAAATACTCAGAGGCAAAGTTGGAGGAAAATGAATTATACTTTGAAAAAAGAGAGCACTGGGCTAAACTTAGTAACCCAATGTTTAAAAGGGGTATTACAGATCTGAAAGTAATCTACTATTTACAAGGATTTTTTTAAGGCAGGAGAAAGGGGAGAGAGTCAACAGCTATCATGTGATTATGTATAAAAAAAACAGAGGCTTCCTGGCAATTAATGACAAATTTTGCAAAACTCAAATGAACATAGGATGTGACTTTTTGGTTAATAAGTACATACTGTATATCCATTCTAAATATTGCATTATATCATTATTTTCATCGTCTAAACTTAGGCTCATTATTTCATCATGTGGATGCTATATAATTTACTCAGAATGTTGCCTTTATGTGGATTCATCTAAACAAAAAAAAAGCCATCTTTGATTTAATAATAATCATTCTGACAGCAAAACTATTATTTTAGATAACATAGTGGATCCTAATATTCTTTGTTTCTGACCACAAAACCAATGGGGTGGTCAAAGTGGATCTCAAAGGGCAGAGTCCCTAAAGGATTAAGTAAGAAGACACACAATTATTTCCGAAAGCAGCTTCAAGATATCGGTCACCACATGTTTCACTCCTACCAAATGAGGATCAAGCTGCAATAATAGAATCTTTCATCTCCAAAAGGACAACCAAGTATGATAGGCAAATTGGGGAAAACAAGACTAGAACTATAGTCCATTGCATCAAAATGGGTAATTTCACCATCTGCAAACCCCACTCTCTTGCATATATTCTGGCCTCTAACTAAACTGTGGACTAAACCCCAGTCATGCTTCATTTCTGCATTTGCCCATATCTCTAGCCAGTCTTCAAAGTCCATTTCAGTGTGATCTTATCCATTAAGTTCTCCCATCACTGAAGCACAAAAATATTTTCCCTGCCTCTGAACAAATACGCACAAGACCTTAATTTGCCTGACTCCTGCTACACTTTCAGAGTCAACCTTGTACTACAATTCGAATTATAACATGGAAAAGCTAGAAAAACCTAGATCAGTGATAGAGAACCTTTTGAGCTCGGCGTGTCAGCATTTTGAAAAACCCTAACTTAACTCTGGTGCCGTGTCACATATAGAAATTTTTTGATATTTGCAACCATAGTAAAACAAAGACATATTTTTGATATTTATTTTATATATTTAAATGCCATTTAACAAAGAAAAATCAACTTAAAAATGAGTTCACGTGTCACCTCTGACACACGTGTCATAGGTTCGCCATCACTGACCTAGATCAATAGTTCCTAAACCTAGTTGTGTCATACAATCACATGGGGAATTCTCCAGATCTACTAAATCAGACTCTTCAAGGATGGAGCCTGGGAAAAATAATTTAACCAATGTACTATTAATTGTAAACAAGCCTTAGAAAAGTCTAGTCAAATTCCTTAATATTACAGACTAGAGGCCCAGTGCATGAATTCGTGCATGGGTGGCATCTGGCCAGCCCACCCTGATCGGGGCAGTCAGGCCAGGCTGGCTGGGGGAAAGGATGGGTGAAGTTGGCCAGCCGGCACTGCCCCCTGGTCGAACTCCCAGTGGAACTCCTGGACAAGGGGACAATTTGCATATTAGCCTTTTATTATATAGGATAGCTAAATAAAGGAATAGTGCCTTTCTCCATGTTACAATATTAATAGTATCTTATCCTATCACTCCTTTTAAACTGGGAACTATTTCAGGGTAAAAATTATGTATTATAAAACCTTTGTACCTTCTCATAGCACCTAACATGGAGCTTGCACACTAATTTTTTAACACATGAATGACTAATTACTGTTGTCTTACTTATTCAACAAATACTAAGTGCTGCTTTGTGTAAGG